GCATTTAGAGGCTTGTGAATCATGTGAAGTATTGTCTCTCCTTTGTCACACAAACTCATAAGCTATCCCCAGATGAGAGGATTAGTTGTTTGCACCAAAAGTCTCCTGTGCATCAACTTTGACAGAGATATCTCTGCTTCTGCAGTATCTTGGAGATGTCACTTGCTCATGTGGATTTTTATCAAGTTTGATAGAATCCACAATTTATTATCTCCTGTGGAAACATAATCATAACGTCAACCCTAACTTAACACTTTCCTGTTATATCCATGTCTCAAATCACTCAGAGACTACCAAGGAGCCAGTTTCCCATGCAAGGGTCTTTTTATTTTCAGGTTTGAACCTGGACCACCACCCTATGCTCCAACTAAGCAGATGGAGGGAAATGCAGTAGTGGCCAGGGGCTCAGGGGTAGGAGAGTTTTTAAAGGGAAAAAAAACCCCACAAGCTGGGAATTACATTCATTGGCAGTTTGAGATTGGGTAAAAGGGATATGGGGCAAGGTGATTTTTTGAAACTATTGGGTTAGACTTTCGGTGTGGAAAAGCAACCTGCTGACAGGATTATCTGGATATCTGCAAGGGCCATAAACCACAGACAGGATATCTGGAGGAACGTCTGGATCTTGTTAAACTTTATTACCCTAATTCTTAATTGGCTGCTTCTAGGGTATCTGTTCGAGTAGTTAAGGCACATTCCTGAGAATCTTCCTGGAACTGAGTACAGGACCCAGTCACCAGGAGATCTAAGATGGTGGTCCTTCCCTAAGACAGAGTCTGTAAAGTCAAGTCTAGGCCTTCATATTGCCTTCATATTCTCCCCTCTGACTGGACCCTGAAGGTCCCAATCATGGGACTGTCATGTCCCGTAACTCCATCAAGGCCTCTCTGATTTCTTTTTTTTTTTTTGGTTTTTCGAGACAGAGTTTCTCTGTGTAGCTTTGTGCCTTTCCTGGGACTCACTTGGTAGCCCAGGCTGGCCTCGAACTCACAGAGATCCGCCTGGCTCTGCCTCCCGAGTGCTGGGATTAAAGGCGTGCGCCACCACCACCCGGCTGGCCTCTCTGATTTCTATTAACAGCAGTTAGTATTGGGACCTCATTAACATTAATTGAATAGCTCCTAGACTTTCTTTCATGAATTGTACTAATTTGTTCAATATGCAAGACCCAAAGGTGAGAAGCAAAACTAATATGAGAAGGGGTCTCAACCGGGTAGAAATCAAGGTAGTTTACCATGGGGATGAATTAAACCAGGACTCAAAACATCCTTGGCTGGCCTCACTCTCTCCCTTTCTCTTAGCCAGTCCTTCTCTTACTTTTGCCATTGATTCCTTGACTACTCCTAAGTGGTCTACATAGAAGCAGCATTCCTTGCCCAGAGCTGCACACAGTCCTCCTTGCTGAAGGAAGATCAAATCTAAACCCCGTCTGTTCTGTATTACAACCTCAGCTAAGGATGTCAGAGACTCTTGGAGATGGGAGATGGAGTTTTCTAACCTTTCTATATCTATATCTATGGCAGAGTGCAAGCTGGTATAGTGCTGGCTCTGAATGATCAGGGGTGCTGTCCCAGTTCCTAAACTAGCCAGGCTGGCTCCCAGAGGATACTCAGAGTGAGAGCTGCCATGGGCTCTCTCTTAATACATTTTGGGGATGCAGTTTCTAACTTGTAGAGTGGCTCTTCTTCTGTATGGTAAATTAGCCTTGGGACAAGCAGTACCATCAAACAGAGCCTTTTGTATTTTTGAGAACCTGGGTATAAATGCCGGGCGTTAAATCCATGGAACAAGCCCACCATGCATCATTGTGGGGATTCAGATAACTCTGGGAGTTTGGGAATGCAAGGGTTTAGTTACTGAGAGTTTGTTGCCCTTGGGGGACTGTCCCTACACAGAGGCCCTGGTCTATGACTTGCTGAAGGGTCAGCAATGCCTTGGACTGCTAGCAGCATTGGTTAGGAACAGACTTCGGTATAGTTAACCACAAGGGCAATTCCTTCATAATATGGGTTGAGGGCAGAAGGCTGTGTCATAGTAGAGCCAACAAGATGCAGTTAAATTAGGTGGAGTTTAGAACCAGAAATGACTGATTGAGGAGCTCCCAAAGCGGATCTCCTCCCTTGGTTGCAGTCGGACTGGTTACTGGGGTCCTGGAAGCCAAAAACACTGACATATCTGATGGTTGTGGGGTGTCAAGACTTACTGTACTTTCCAGGGGTTTGGCGTTTGGGGGCTGATGGTGGGTTTATTATCTGATTAGGTCCTATCACCACCCATAACGGTGTTTGAATGTGCGGTAAAGCCTCAGTCCCCAAGTTTCGCCAGTTGTCCAGTCTGTTTTCTTTCCTTGGTCAGTGAATTTGATGACTAATGAGTTGCAGTGCCCCCTGCTGGTGGCCTATGGGTATTCGGGGAAGTGCTTCTTCTCATAACATCGTCCACAGTCAACTTGCTGCTGGCCCACAGTGCATACTCTTGTCCCCAGTGCTCTCATGTCTCCTGCACTTGCTACTGTAATTAGATCTCCCCGTATAGGAGGTGTCCATTTAATCCATCCCATGGACTCGCACCCCCAGTTGGCACAGTAGGCAGACTCAGGGAATTGCAACCATACCCCAGAAATGGTTCCTGGTTGGATGGGTTTCAGTTTTCCCCCACTAGGTCACATAAATCCATAAGAAGTCAAGGAACCATGTGTGTGTGTGTGTGTGGGGGGTGTTGAAGAGGTGCTGTTAGCAATGGCTCCTGTCTCAGCATTCACAATCATCCAGGTCTGATTCCAAGGCACGTGTGGATTTCCCACAGATCAGTCCTGGTGGGTAGAATCATCAGGAGCCATGTTACTGCCTGTGCCACACCCAGAGCTTGAGAGGGTTGTCTGGATCCCTTGAAGCTTCGCATCCTTCACCCCAGTAATCTTCCCTGGGTGTGAAAGGATCAGCTGGCCTGGCATGGGTATAGTGGATCCAGGTAGCCATGATGGCAGTGGGCATGATTAGCAGAACAATGTAGGGTCCCTTCCCATAAGCTGCAATGGCCCCTGACTGCCTTTTCATATATACCCAATTCCGTGCCTGGTATCTGGGACACAAAAGCTAGTCCATTGTCTGACCCTATTATAGTTGGGAAAACATACCTGGGTAAGATATCTAGGAGATTCTTGGCAACCACTTGTGCTATTTCATAATTTGTGGGTATGCTTCAGTCCATCCAGAAAAACGTATCTGTAAACACTAATAAATACCTGCAGCCATACTTTCCAGATTTTACCTCAGTGAAGTCTATTTCCCCTGGTTTCTTGCCCCTGAGCCTGGTTCCTGGATTTTGGGGGTTGGTTACTGTGTTGGTGAACTGGCAAGACTTGCAGTTGGTGACATTATTTACAATTTTTTGTTGTGCATCTCTGATTTCTATTCCCAACTATCTAACCAAGTCCTGCATTCTCCATGTTCCCATATGGATCTTGTTGAGCAGTCTCTCTCCCAGATGTTTAGGCAGGATGATTTTACTGTCTGCAGTCCTCCACCACCCATGTAGACACTGAATCATAGGGAGAGTCTTAATCCAGACGTCTTCCTTAGTATACTCAGAATTTTCAAGCAGATTAGGTGCCCCTGGGTCCACCAGTACATGTGCAAAGACTCAGTTTGGAGTGCCACCTGCTGGGCCGTTTTGTCAGCCAGACTGTTGCCCCTGGCAGTAGGTCCATCCCCTTTCTGGTGCCCCGGGCAATGAATGATGGCCCGTTTCTTGGGTAGCCATAGGGCTTTAAGGAGGGCCAGGATCTTGTCTATATTTTTAGTAATTTTTTCCTTCCATGGTTAGTAGTCCCCTTTCTTTGTATATTGCCCCAGGGACATGTGCTGTGACAAAAGCGTACTGACTGTCAATATAGACATTAACTTTCCACCCTTGCCCCAGATCTAATGCCTTAGTTAGGGCTATCAGCTCTGCCCACTGGGCAGACATCCCAGTTAGCATTGGCTCCACCCATATCACTTCCTCTGCAGTGGTGACTGCCACCCCCACATACCTCCGACCATCCTTCATTGTTGTCAGTATACCAGGTCACTTCTGCGTCAGGCAATGGGGCATCCTGTACTCACCCAGGGCCTCATGCAAAGCTTAATCAAAGATGGTGGGGGAGTTCTTGAATCCTTGTGGTAGTCTGGTCCATGTCAGCTGGCCACTGATCCTAACCTCTGGGTCATGCCATTCAAAGGTGAAGAACTGTTGGCTTTTAGGGGCCAGAGGCAGACTGAAAAAGGCATCTTTTAGGTCCAGGACAGTATAACATTGCTGGTCTGTGGGCAATGAGCTGAGTAGGCTGTATGGGTTAGGCACTGTGGGGTGTATGTCAATCACCCTCTTGTTGATATCCCTCAAGTCCTGGACTGGTCTGTAATCATTGGTATGAGGCTGCTTAATGGGCAACAGAGGTGCGTTCCAGGCTCACTGCACAGGCCTGAGGACACCTAAGTTCAGTAGCCTCCTGATATGTAGTGTGATGCCCTTTTTGGCCTCTAGGGGAATGGAGTACGGGCGGACCCAGTCAAGGCCGATAAAAATTCCTGTAGCCATTTGTCCAGCTACAAGTCATGCTCAGTGGCTACCTGATGTAGCCTGTACTCTTCAGTCAAACTACTGGTCACCAGTACATGAATGGGCTTCCCCTTTTCATTAAGCAATTTAGCTCCTTCATGAGAGAAATATATCTGAGCTTTCATTTTGGTCAGTAAATCATGGCCTAACAAGGTGTATAGGCATTCTGGAATTACCAGGAATAAATGGTTTATCCGGCCCATTCCCAAGTACACTGTTCTTTGGGTAGTCCATGAATAAGTTATGACTCTGGTGGCACTCTGAACCCAAGTCTTTTTGTCTGTCATGTGTAGCTGGAATTTTCTCCAGTTCTGCACAGGCCCAAAGTCAGGACAAATCTCTCTCACCTGCCAGTCCTGCAGGTGCTTCGACCCAAGTAAACACACAGAGACTTATAATACTTTATAATAAACTGTATGGCCGTGGCAGGTTTTTTGTTATCTAGTTCTTATATCTTAAATTAACCCATTTCTATTAATCTCTAAGTTGCCACGTGGCTTGTGGCTTACTGGTACTTCTACATCTGGCTTCCTCTGTGTCTGGTTGGCTACTCCTGACAGCCTTCTACTTCCCAGAATTTTTTTCTCTCCTTATATCTCTTACACTATACTTCCTGCCTGGCTACTGGCCAATCAGCATTTTATTTATCAATCAATCAGAGTAACACATTCAGAGCATACAGACATCCCACAGCACTTCCCCTTTTCTTTTTTTCAAAAAGGCTTTAACTTTAACATAGTAAATTACACATGACAAAACAATTATCAAGCAAGAATTACAGTTATAATATATAGTCTATTTGTATTTGGCAAAATTAAAGAAGATATCCTAACTATCTTATATTTGTGAGTCTAAGGTTTTATATCTAATTTATCTTTTATCATAACTAAGGAAATTATAACTATCTAGTCTTCAACTACATCAAAGATCTCAGAAGGATATACTATTACCTGCAAAATGGGAGAAGGATACAAGCAACTTTTGGGAGTCTTGAAAGAGTAGACAGAGACAGTTGGCAGCCTGGACAGTCATCCAAAGTTCTTCTGTAAAGTTGGGGCATCTGTCTTCAGCCCACAGGCCTAGAATCTCTCAGTCACTTCTCTCTGTGCCCTGTAGAATTTCTGGAAGTTTCCTCTGTGAAGCAGGAACCTGAAGGACCATATTGTCAAGCAAAGTTCAGTGGTCACCTTCCTATGAGTCCTGCATGTCCAGTCAATCAAGAAGTCCAGGGAAAAAGTTTCTTGCCCAAATGGCTATTTTTGTCAAGAAGATAAACTCTATATAGAGTGTCTTCGATGCCCATCCTCCTCTCTGAAGTAAATTAGTGCAGCCAGGAGCAGACATGTCTCACTGTCCAGAAAGTCTAAATTTTTAAAACATTTTAAATGCCATATTCTGTAGGTCTTTGAAGTGTTTGAAGATTACCTACCTAATTGAATTATATCTATGTATACCTAAAAAACTTAACATGACTGTAAGTTTGACTATCGTAGAAGACTAGTTATTAATCTGTATTTTTTAGTTATCCATTACAATCTAAATGAGTTACATAACCATAATATCTCAAACAAGAGTAGAAATATATATACAGTATAACAAAATTAAGTTTAAACTTGTATCAATAAAAATCCATAGCAATGTAAAACATTTCTAAACAAGTTGCTATTCTCTAAATGTAGGTTCGTTAATATACCCTTTCATCCTTCCATGTCTATACTATCCCCTTTTCTTCTTTAGAAAGAGATTGCATTTATAATCACCCTGCTTTAAATAAAAATATTGTTTTTTCTCTGTCGCACACTAGAGGGTCTTCTGATCAACTTTTTTTTTTTTTATTTATTTATTTTTTTTTAGCAAATATGCTTGGGTTTAGAGAAGGAGTGAGCCAATTCCATCTCCAAAGCCAGCTTGGTATATTTGGGAATTTGGGTGTAGCTTTTCATACTACTTCCTGCTGGATGAGGGTGCTGTATTCTTATGAGGACATGAAGAAAATTTTAGGATTTTATTTTAGGTAGTCCGTGAGGCTGTATTGTCTGAGCCAGTTGCCTTGAAACTGTTCTGGATGTTGGATCATCTGGGCCATGGTGTCATCGGAGACCTTTCAGGGGGTCTTGGCTGGTCAAACCTGATGTATCTTAATCTGGAACAAATCCATAGCCTCTTGCTTTCTGTGGAAACAAAAGCAGAGCCTCCTTTCCAAAGCAACATATCCTTACATCCAAATTTTGAAGTCAAGGTATCTTTAAAATATACATATTGGTTTAACTCAGCAGCCTTTACAATCAAATGTCTCTCTGTAGTTAAAAATCCCAAAGACAACACAATCCAGATTCTCTGTGTGATATCCATCTTTACGTGGCTTAGTTTTTATATTACTTTTACTTTCTCTTTAAAGACTTTATTTTTTCAAACTATCTATTTCTATATATAACTGCATATATTAGTTTTTTCTCTTCCAAGTCTATGTACATTTTTACACACATTGTAAACCATTTAGAGGTTTATCCCATCTGAATTTGTCTTATTGTGAATCTACTGCTTTAAACTGCAGCATTTCCGCCCACCTTAGCTTCCCAACATCACAAAACTATGTTTACAGCCAGCTCTGGGAACCATACTCCCACCAACTCTGGGAAGCAGTGGGTCTATGCTTCCATCAAAGCAGCATGTAGCCCAGAAATTTTTTTTCAGAGTTAAAGCCCAAGAGATCAGAGCACTAGCAAAGAGCCAAGACAACCTTTAGCTTACCACTCGCTGTCATCCTTCCCGAGAGACTTTCTTCCTGTGTCTTGTTTTATTGCTTTCCTGTTCTGCCTTCTCATTGGCTCTAAGCCCAGCCACATGACTTCCTTGTCACTGCCTGTCTATACAGACCTCCTGGTCTCTATGGTTGGTACTGGGATTAAAGACTCAGGGGTCACCACGCTTGGCTGTGTCCTTGACCAGACAGAGACTCTGCCTGCCATGTGATCGGATTAAGGGCATGGGCTACCACCACCTCACTTCTATTCCTGGCTCGCTAATGACCTCTGATCTCCAGGCAAACTTTATTTATTAACGTACAAATAAAATCACATTTCAGCACAATTAAAATATCACAAGGAAGAAGGTCTCTCTCTTAGGGGAAGGACGGCAGTGAGTGGTAAGCTAAAGGTAGTCTTGGCTCTTGGCTAGTGCTCTGATCTCTTGGGGTTTAACTCCATATTTGGCTGTTTCTTATTTAATAAGACCGTTTAGAATTTTGTCCACAGTCATGGGTCCTTAGCCCTCAGTAGCACTGAGTTCTGAACTCCCGTGTCCACCATGAAGTCAATTGGTCTCCCCTCCACTCTTAAGTGTTACCCTAGGCTCAGGGAAGGGGGCCGAACCCTGTCTCACCTAATCACTATCCATATTCTGCTGGCTAAGGACTTTAGTTACCCTAGTTGACTTTTGGCAGCATTCTTTGGCCCAGTGCCCTACCTATTTACAGTACGCTCATTGATTCTTTCCCACCTGGGGCCTTTCTTTCTTCCCTCTCAGTTTTTTGTTTTTGTTTTTTTTTATTCTCCTCTCCAGCACAAGGCACTGCAGTCTCCTTTGGCACTCTTCTGGTTCTGCAGTAGCAGCCAGCAGCACAGCAGTGAGGTGCCAATTCTTGCACCACTCCCGTTTGATTTCCTTCTTCTCCTCACTATCTCTTCAACTATACACTTTCTCAGCCACCTCTACTCAATCCCTAATGCTTTTTTCTCTGGGGCGTTTCAGCCGCCGTAGCTTTCTCTTGATATCTGGAGCTGACTGGTTAATGAAGGCCAGGATCATTGCAGGGGCATTTTCCTGGTGTGGTATTGTATTCCCCCAAATATTGTGCATGCTAATAAACTTATCTAGGGTCAGAGACAGAGCAGCCACAATATTAAACATAGAAGTTAGGCAGTGGTAGCACACGCCTTTAATCCTAGCATTCCAGAGGCAAAAATCCATGTGTTCAAGGATACAGCTAAGCATGGTGACTCATGCCTTTAATCCCAGAAAGCAAGCCTTTAATCCCAGGGAGTGGTGGTAGAAAGCAGAAAGATATATAAGGCATGAGGACCAGAAACTAGAGGCATTTAGCTGGTTAGGCATTTGGCTGCTTAAGCTTTCAGGCTTCTAGCAGCAGTTCAGCTGAGAGCCATTGGGATGAGGACACAGAAGCTTCCAATCTGAGGAAACAAGGCCAGCTGAGGATCTGGCAAGGTGAGATAACTGTGGCTTGTTCTGTCTCTCTGACCATCCAGCATTTCACCCCAATAACTTGCCTCAGGTTTGATTTTTATTAATAAGACTCTCTAAGATTCATGCTACATCCTGGGACTCAGAATCATAAGGCGTATAACTTCTTAAGGCCTTCTGAAGGTGCTCCAGGAACGATGCTGGGCTTTCATCTGCTCCGTCTAACATCGTAGACCCTACTCAAATTTGAAGGTCGCTTTGTGGCTGCCTTGAGACCTGCCAACAGAGTCTGGCAATAGACCACACCAGGCGAATCAAGGGGAAAGCCACATCTATGAGAGCTTGGTTAGCTGAAGGCTCTCCAGTAGCACTTGTAACCAGCTTCCGGGCCTTGGTCTGTATGCGGTCTCTCTCCTCCGTCATGAAGTGGAGCTGAAAAAACGGCCTATAGTCGTCCCATGTGGGGAGGTAGGTGAAGAGAGTTGTTTCAAAGAAGGTAATCAGTTCCTTAGAATTTTCTGAGAAGATTGCATTTGGGGCTCTCCAATTGTAAAGATCACTCATGGCAAAAGGTCAGTAGTGGTGTGATTTGATTCCCATCCTAGTGGGGAGGTTCTGCTGCCCTAAGGTGAAGGACTGTTGTGCCAGGATCAGGGGTATCTCTCCTACAACTATGCATCCCATGACCCGGTCCCTCTCTTACCCCAGGGGAGGGAGCATTCAGGGACAGAGGAGGAGGACCCAGCGGGATTGACAGGGGGGCTGGTATTGGGATGGCTGCACCAGGATTGGGGGCATAACAGGAGGCGGGGCAGAGGAAAGTTCTCTTCCTCTGTGTTGTCTCCTTCAAGGACCTCCGGCTTAGGAGCTGAAGGGGCCTTGGAGGCTACGTCTTTCTCAGCAGCAGTCATGACCTTAACCTGTAGGGGCAAGAATGGTTTAATTCAGGAAGGGGGGTCCTCTAGCAGGTCCCTCCAGGCCACTATGTAGGGAGCTTGGTTGGAGTGCCCCACTGGTGGTCTGAAGACAATCTCCTCCACTGCCCCAATAAGGGCCAGGTGGAAGGTTCCCTTGGGAGGCCAGCAAATACTGAGTGCCAGCCAGTCTGATCTGCAAGAGGTGACAAGTTTAGACTTTTTAATCAAAACCAAAAGATTATGAGCATGTGTGTTAACATCTCAGTAATAAGTTAAGAATAAGTCCAGAGAAGTGTCTGTCCTATATCGTTTGTCACAGTCAGAAACACAAATACATAGAAACACATACCACAGGAGACCAAGGACACAAGAGAAAAGCTTGCCTCAATGAGGCTGAAAGCAGAGGGTCAAACAGAATGATGGCTTGCTGCCACGTGGGAGCGACATACTTGTGTGTCCAAATGCCATACAGATCAAACAGATGTGGGGCTCTCTATCCCCACTGTAGGAGTCTGAAACATCTAGCTCCTTGTGATCACAATTCTCTGGCACGTCTGACCTTAACCATTCCCAACCACAATCACTGACTTAGGTATGCACAAAACTAAACACAGACAGACAAGACAGACAGGCAGACCCTCCAGTCCAGAGTCAGGGGAGGGGAGGGTTCCCAGACAATGAACCAAATGTTATGCCCATGTCTCACATCCCCTAGAGACCACCAAGGACCTGGTTTCTGATGCAAGCACACATGGGTCTTTTTATTTTCAGGTTCAAACACAGACCATCACTCTATGCTCTGACTCAGCAGATGGAGGCAAATGTGGCAGCAGCCAGGGGCTCAGGAGTAGGAGGGTTTTTAAAGGAAAAAACCACAAGCTGGGAATTACATGCCTTGGTATTTTGAGATTGGGTAAAAGGAATATCGGACAAGGTGATTTTTTGAAACTATTGGTCTAGACATTCAATGAAAAACTACATTTGAAACTATTGGGTTAGACTTTTGGTGTGGAACCACAATCTGTTGACAGGATTATCTGGATATCTGTAAGGGCCATAATCTGCAGACAGGATATCTGCGGGCCTATCTTGATCTTATTAAACTTTACTGATGAATTTCTTAATTGGATGCTCCTAGGATTTCTGTTCAAGTAGTCATGGCACATTCCTGAGAATCTTCCTGGAACTGAGTACAGCCTCCAGTCACCAGGTGGTCTAAGATGGTGGTCCTTCCCTAAGATGGAGTCTGTAAAGTCAAGTCTAGGCCTTAATATTGCCTCCACATTCGCTGAACTATTTTGATGTTAAAACATTTATAATACATGGGCCTACTTGATTCAGGAATTCTTTTCATAACTCACTGTTGTTCCTGTTTCATTAGCGTTTAAAAACATTTAAAGTTAGTAAAGCATTAATTATGCAGTCTATTCCTGATGGTCCTCATATTCCCCTTCTGTTTAGCATCTATTTTATAGTGTGATTAGATCTTTCAACAATTGCTTGTCCTATATGGTATCCCAGTAACATGGTTTATGTTGTAACACGCAAAAAAAAAAAAAAAAAAAAAAAAAAAGTTTTATATTACTGGAAAAATAAGCTGGGGCATTATCAGTCTTAATTTGTGCTGTATGTTTATTACAACCATTGTTTCTAATAAACATGTGTAATTATAGAATCTGCCTTTTCAGAACTTAAGGGAGATGTCCATTGGAACCCAGAATAAGTGTCAATGATATTATGAACATATTTTAATTTTCAAAAATCTACTAAATGGAATACATCCATTTGCCAAATTTCATTCCTTTGTGTACCTTTAGGATGAGATGTGCAGGTAAAGGAACTTGATTATAAAAAGAACAAGCAGGACAGTTTATGAATTCCTTAGCCTGTGACTTTCACTTATAATTCTTCCCAATACTCTTTCCAGGAATATACCCCGATTTTAAACATCACTTTAAAAGCTACTTCAGAAATTGTAGGAATATTAATTTGAGCTTCCCATTGTTGTAACAAATCTCTCCCCCATAAATTCATGGCTATATCAGCCACATAAAGCTTTAACATTTCTACTTGTCCTTCAGGTCCTACACATTTAATCCACTCTACACTCTTTTTTTACTTGAGATAAGGTTGCAATGCCTACAAATTGAGTGGAGATTTCTTGTAAAGGCCAGTTGGGATCCCAGGATTCTTGTGAAATTACAGACACATCAGAATCCAATAATCCTTCAATTTCAATCCCATTTAATTTTGCTTTTAATTTAGACCTTTTATCATTGATGACTGTTTGCCAACACACCTTTTTTTCCTGTACTTCCAAAGCCTCCAGTTCTATATATAGTTGCCACTTTGCCTTTAAGATATGGAAGCAATAATAATTGACCAATTCTATCACCAGTCTTTATCTGCATAGTCTTTTTTTTTTACATAAGCTATCTATAATAGCATTAAAGACAATCTCTATAGAATTTTAAGAGTACTTTTATAAAATCTTAAAAAGAGGATCCTTTTTTAATAGATCCCAAGTAACACATTAATGCAACTTGCCAATAATTAACAGTGTGGATCAAACAATTTACCTGTATTTTGTTTAGTGGATAAATAATTTTAAAAGCTCTTTATCAGTAAGAGATTATTTTCTATGAGTTTTTATCCTAGCAACCACATTATTTAATAAGCTAACAACTCAATCTGTTTCAGGTTTTAATATTTTAAAGAATTTAACCAAGAATTTCTAGAAAGAAACTTAAAGAGCAGAACCAAACTCTCAGTAATGATAAACAGACAAGTGCATATCCAATATATAGTTTAAAATTACGAATCCTGTTCCTTTAGTTTATCTACCATGAAAATCAAACATTCATCCAAACACTTATTAGACAATCAAAAGAAGAGAACATCCTCTATACACTGAATGATTAATATCTCTGGGAAATCAAACACCATCAACTTAGCATTCCATGTCCTGACCACAACTGTTCTCACCAGAAGTTGGGCCCGTTTAAACTTCCTCTTTCTCCCATGAAGGGACTACTAATAGTGAGTTATTCCCACCATTAGGGAAAAACAGAAAACATTTCCCATGAAAGGATCTTTAATAGAGAATTATTCCTGGTCTGAGAGAAAAATAAAAAAACATATAAACCAAAGTTAAGCAAACAGACAACACAATTCTAAGCTCTGGGTTTGCTGTGCTTGTTCAGGCTGCAGCAGTGAAGCCTCATCTGTTGATTTTTTGTAATTCAGATGCTGCCACTCTGTGCTGGCAGGCAGATCTGTGAAAGAGCTGACAGGCAGAAAGAGCTCAGAGTTTTAGCTATCCTCAATTTCTTATATTGGAAAGAGCTATTTCTTCCTCTCTACTGGGAAGAGGCTTTTTACTTTATTTTTCTTTTATGGGGCCTTTTAATCTTTAAGCCTGGTTTCAATATTTTTCATCTTGATTAACCATTTCACCCTTTTCTATTGCGAACTTTCCTTTTATTTCCTTTCCTTCCCTCTTCTCTACTGGGAAGGATTTTCTTTTTTTCTTTCCCTTTTCTGTATTGATAAAGGTCTTTTTCTCTGATTTACTTCCTGTCTTAGGAATCATTCTATTTCTAGCTTTAAAAATTGTATAGTTACCACTTTTTCTTTTGACAAGCACTTTAGCAACTATACATTTTGTTGCTCCTGAGATGGGGAGTTTAAATTCTCCATGACCCTGCAGATTGTCGAGTCCCCTTACCCTGAGGGCGCTTCCTGTTAAGATGGCCAGCTCCTCTGTCCTTCTTCAGCAGATCATTTGTCCTTCTTCAAGCCACACAACAGGGGTCAATGTCATGTTGGGCACCAATTGTCAAGGTGAGGGTGTGTGGGTGCACCCGGGATTGGACCACTGAATGAAAACTCAGAGGCACTTAAGAATTAATCTAGCCTTTCACAGCTGCAGGGGGATCCAGCCTTTCAGGATTGGAGCACTTTCCCTTTACCCAGGGCATTTTTATTTTTCTCAATACTTACACTTTAGCCAGTTGATTTCCATATGTTCAAAACAACCTGAAAGAAGCTCACAGCAATACAATGCCAAGTGGAAATTCCTCGATTCATCAGTTTTCCGGCTTTCCTGAACCAAGTTTTTCCATAGGCTTGTACCCTCGGGAGACTCTCAGACAAGATTCACGTAGATGGCAAAAAGAGAAACAAAAGGTAACCAAGAAACAAAAGATGGATTAGGGGTATGTGCCAACTGTCTGGAGTAAGGTCAGGTATAGTCCAGCGGGAATGATGCCACAAAACTGTTCTAAAAAAAAAAAAAAAAAAAACCTCACAAAACAATGATTAACAAAAAAATATCAGGGCTCAATGGAAATCATGGCATGCCTCCGCAGGTAAAGGTGCTTGCAGCCAATACTCATGGACCTGGTTTGGTCCTTAGGATCCAAATGGTAGAAAGGAAGGACTGGGTACCATAGGCTGTTATCTGATTTCAAACTACACTATGCATGTGCACTCACAAAGAATAAGCTGAATCTAAAAAGAAATATAAAGGGCCAAGAGATGGTATAGCAGTTTAGTACCTGGCGTGGACTGCACGGTAACCATTGCTGTTTGGCCAAGTACGAGCATATTGACATTGCAGATCTTTTAATTCACCAGCACCTTTACCTTTATTTAATAATTTATTCAATAATTTAATTTATTTAATAATTCCCATTATATATTATGAAGTCTCCTTATGCATTTTTCTGTGGGAAATATTTTTTGTGGGCTTCAGTAGAGGATAGGAATGTATACATAGGCAGTCTCTTCAAAAAAAAATTATTGAAAAATCCCCATCACCATGGAATCACATAGCATGATAAATATGCCTACTCTCACACAAGAATGCCCATTTTGTTCCCCTGATTACCAAGAACAGAGAACTTAAAGATGCACTAACTGGATATACCTGGTCCCAGGGATAAGAGCACACTACAAAAGGAAACAATGGGCTCACATCCAGAAAGGCCTTTAGATACTTGGTGGAACTATCACTTTTTGTCTCAGGAAAAATGCTGTGATGAGGTTGATGCCTGCTTTTATCCTGGAATCATTAAGTCTGCTTACAATCTTGCTTGAGTCTAAACTAATATTCAGTTATAGCATAGAATAGGTGTAGTACTTTTTCAATAAAGCAGCAGCTATGCTGACTCATGCTCAGATCATGGCAGTCTCCTTTTGGTGACAACCAATTTCCTCTTTGGGACCTGAACCCCTATGGATTGGACTCCAGCAAGTACCTCTTGTAGAAAACACAGTTCAGTTTCTAGCACTCACATGGCAGCTCACATCTTATTACCATATTGATTACATCCATATGGTACTATCTAGTATGAATTCTTTTGTGATTAAGAAGATAACCCTTTGTTGCAAACGCTTTACCACACTGATTACATTCATAGGGTTTCTGTCCACTATGAATTCTTTCATGGCTGAGAAGATATTTCTTCAGTGCAAAGGCTTTACCACATTGATTGCATTCATAAGGTTTCTCTCCAGTATGATTTCTTTCATGACCAAGAAGATTCTTCTTCTCTGCAAAGGTTTTACCACATTCACTGCATTCATAGGGTTTCTTATCAGTATGAATTATTTCATGACTGTGAAGAGTACTTTTCTGGACAAAGGCTTTACCACACTGATTACATTCATAGGGTTTCTCTCCAGTATGAATTCTTTCATGAATTTGGAGACTATTCTTCTGTACAAAAGTTTTACCACATTGCTTACATTCATAGGGTCTCTCTCCATTATGACTTCTTGCATGACTGTGAAGACTACTCTTCGATACATAGGCTTTATCACATAGATTACATTCATAGGGTCTCTCTCCAGTATGAATTCTTTCATGAATGAGAAGATTACTCTTCTGTGCAAAGGCTTTACCACAGTGATTACATTCATAGGGTTTCTCTCCAGCATGAATTCTTTCATGGTTGAGAAGATTACTCTTCCTTGAAAAGGCTTTATCACATTGACTACATTTATAGGGTTTCTCTCCAGTATGAATTCTTTCATGACTGAGAAGCATATACTTCTCTGCAAAGGTTTTACCACATTGATTACATTTATAGGGTTTCTCTCCAGTATGACTTTTTTCATGACAGAGAAGATTCTTCTTCCGTGCAAAGGCTTTACCACAGTGATTACATTCATAGGGTTTCTCTCCAGTATGACTTCTTAGATGAGTGAGAAGATGACTGTTATATGCAAAGGCTTTGCCACATTGATTACATTCATAAGATTTCTCTCCAGTATGACTTCTATTATATATTTGAAGATTAGTGGGACATTCAAAGGATTTATCACATTGAGAGTATTCATACTTTTTCTCTTTAGCTTGAATTCTATGTACTTGATGAAGACTGTGACATTCAAAGGCTTTATAACTTTGATTAGATTCATAGAGTTTTCCTTCTAAATGAGTTCTTCGGTGTACTTTTAAAGAGGAGTCAGATCTAAAGACTTTATCATGTTGATTACATTCATAGAGAGCCTCTTCGTTATTGGTTCTTTGGTGTGTTTGACGATGCCTGTCAAGCCTAAAGCCTTTAGTAGATGACTCACATTTATTATTTTCTCTTCCCACATGAGTTTTTTCACATCTTTGAAGAGAACTTGAAGAACTGAGAATGTGACCACACTGATTGCATTCATAACATTTTCTTATACTGTGAGCCACACTACATGTGCACAGTGAACCAGTACAGAGAGATGTATTTCCATATTCCTGGTACTTATAAGGTTTTTCTTCAATGTGAGTTTGTTGATGAATTCCCCCTGAAGTTGAAAAACCAATTAATTGTAAACTTGTATCACAGTCATCATGTCTTCTCATAGAGGGGACTACTACACATCTTCCAACTTTTCTGCGAAAGACAGAAGTACAATGCTTCTTTGCATGTCCCTTATGCTCACACGCCTTGTATCCAGAATGACAGATGACATATCTTGTAAAGGAAAATAAAGTTAAAAAAAAAAAAGATTTTCACGTTACAGTCACATAGTCTCACGTTTTGTATGCCATAAAGATGTGGAATAGGGATTAATGTTTCCACACCACAGCAACTTCCTGGTCTCTCATAAAGTGCTCCTCTAACTAAACTATGCTAAGTCACTCACTACAAGCATATGAGTAACACTAGCTTTAATATGGAAGCTTTGCGGGGCTGGAGAGATGGCTCAGAGGTTAAGAGCACTGGCTGCTCTTCCAGAGGTCCTGAGTTCAATTCCCAGCAACCACATGGTGGCTCACAACCATCTGTAATGAGATCTGGTGCCTCTTCTGGCCTACAGGCAAACATGCTGTATACATAATAAATAAATAAATCTTAAAAAAAAATATGGAAGCTTTGCATATAAGAGATCTTGGACATAAACTAATCCCCTCATCAATGTGTATACCTTATATAACTGAATGGTATGGCAGTAAATGGATGGACAGTTCTACAACACGCCTCTCACATGGCTATAATTGAAACTGTGACATCTATTACGGCATTGTTTTCTCGTTTTCTACTTAAAGGAAAGCTGAGTAAACAGTGGTCAGCTACCTGACATTGGAGTGCATGGTGTTGTGACAATTTTATAATCATCACAAAGCTATGCTTATTTACACAGTGGCTTTTCATTAAATGTTCAGGGTACATTAACATTTCTTCAAATATACATATGTATCAGCTTGCATGTGAAAATTACCTTCCATTTCTTCTAGAGCTCTGACAATGTTCTTCAATATTATGGTCTTTCCATTTGAATCCTAAAACACAGTATGAGAAAATGTATGTGATATATTACTGGAAATTAGGCACACTTGAAATTACTATCTTGCATGAATCTTAGTACCATGCTTGATTTATTCACCACATTCTTCCCCTTTCACGTTCAAAATCACAGAAGAGCACCAATCTCCAAGAAAAGCTTGTCCCCTTAAGTTAAAAATTGACAGAAAGCTCACATTCTTACCTATAGAAATGAGGTTCCAATAGGTTTCCAGCATCACATTTTTGTAGAGACTCTTCTGGGAAGGATCCAGCAAAGCCCACTCTTCAGGAGTGAAGTTCACATGCACATCCTCATAGGTCACCACATCCTAAAATGTCCCATAAATGTTTGTAATTGAAATGAGACTGACTGAATTACAAATGTACACTTCATTGAGAAAATATTTAAACAATTCTGTGTGTTCAAAACATTCTATGACATGGGTCAATAAATATCAAATACAGTCACCAACTCATTTTAAAAGGACACATCAAAAGAGAATGACCCTTCCATTCCAGTACCCACAGAAAAGAATATGGCACAGCAAGAGAAATGCCTAGGAATATATACAAAGAGACATGCAATGTGAGTAACACTATTTAGTATACATCAGCAGAATTTTATCAAAATTATTAACTTCAAGAAAGGATAGAAAATATAGGTGTGGTGGTGCACACCTCCAATCTCAAACCTCAGGAGGCAAAGTAGATGAAACTCTATGATTTCCAAGCCTGGTTTATGTAGAAATTGCCAGGACAGCCAAAAGTACATAGTAAGACCCGGTCTCAAACAAAAATTCCTCCAAAGAGTTAAACATTCACTTCAGTTTTATACTTGTCTATCATAACCTAGAGTGACCCCTATTGAACTGTAAGACTAATAATTCCCAGGAAGGAAAGCATTTTTAAGAAGTTACTAACTGACAGATCAATGAATTCTCAAGAACATTAGTAAAGTAAATATTGATCCTAAAACAGGAAAACAAACAATCAAAGGGATGGAGTATGTGAAGATGGGTCAACAGATAAGATCACCTGTTGCTTCTGAAGAGGTCCTAGCTCAGTTCCCAACACTCAATGGATATTAGCAACTATTCCTAACTCCAGGTCAAAATAGAATACTCCCTTCTGCCTTCAGCAAATAACAGAAAGACAAGTGGTACATATCTATTTGTCTGTCTGTCTGTCTATCTAGGCAAAAATTTCAGCCATTGAAAACAATTTAAAAACATAAAAACACACACAAAGGTAGGGACAATATTACACACCTGCAATTCAGTGATTCAGGAGACTATTAATGACTATTAATTTCTTGAATGTATACATTCTTGCTCTGAAAAATGACAAACCTGCCAAAGTTTAAAAGTCATGATGTGGGTTGTTAAGCACAAGGGCAAATGCTACATGTACAAAAACCAGATTCCATCCACCAAAAATATAAACATAAAAATATCAGGCAAGAAATATGGATTAGGGAGGAAAAGTAATTGCTTCTACTTTACCTTATATTATTTAGGAATGGAATCTCTACTGTTGGTGATGGCGTGCCTACATGAGAAGGAAGGGGGCTGCTCACTTTCAATAAAACCAAGAAATGTGGTGAGACTATATTCCTCCAGAAAGGCTCCTCCTCATAAGAGTTTTGTAAGTCACCAATGAAAACCCACACCAAAGACAAATGCTCAAACTCTGTATACTACTTGGAAGATTTTTCATTCAACCCTCAACATTTTGACACAGGCCATGACAGGCTCAAAGTCAAACCATGATGCAAAATGCATTTAGTCTGATTTCAAAGATCCCCATATTATGTAATAGTCCCAACACTATTTGAATGACAACAGATTCTTCTGACACAGAAGACAATCTTTGACTATGACCTCAAGTAATATCAAAACAGGAATCATATCAACCCAAAACACAATGGCATAGAACATACATTTCCCTTTCAAAGAATTAAGGAAAGATTAGACCAGGTCAAGTGTAAAACTATACAGGACAAACACCAACACTTGCAGCTGTGTCAGGCACCCAGGGCTTCAGTTTCAAAAGGTTTATACGGTTCTTTCTCTCTGCAACTTCTCATACATCTCTCTCTTTGGCTACTTCCACTTCCTACATGCAGCTATTCATGGCATGTGTCTCAGAGCCTGGGTAGCTCAACATATTGTTACCTCAAAATGAAACTAAGGCTTTATCTCATATCTTCATGAAAGGAAGTCTCACAGTCTCTTCACTGGGCCCCATGAATGCTAGACCCAACATTAAGGCTGCAGGTTATTATATTTAAAACAGGGTATCCTGTAACCCCAGGTGACCTTTACTGCCATTTGTAATCTAGATAGCCATGAACTTAGTATTTCTGCCTTAATTTCCAAATGCTAGGTTTATAGATATAATCCAACACTCTGGGCTTTATGGCTGGAGTTTTTAAAGTGGTGAGAGCAGGGCTTCCTCATTCAGTGACACAAAGGAAATAAGGGACACATGGGAGTTGACCATTCTTGGCAAAGGGAAAATGAGGTGAAATGCCCTGAAGTGATAACATACTTGACAACCTAAAGCACTGAAGCATGGTTAAAGCAATGTCAACAGAGAACTAGGGAAAACAGTGGACTTGAGGACTTGATTTTACAAGGAACTTTACTGTCAGGCCTTCAGTTTTGAGAATAAATAATATGTATAACAACATGACCTACTTTGTTCTTTAGATCTCTGGCACTTTACAGATATCTAACTGGTTAAAGAGCACTGTCAGCTTTTCCAGAGAATTCAGGTTTGATTCCTTGCAACCCCATGGAGACTCAATGACCAGAGTAACTCCAATTCCAGAGGATTCAATGCTGTCTTCTGGCATTCTCAGACTGTACACGTTCATATGGTACATAAATATACATACAGCCAAAACACCCATATGCATACCATAAAATAATTTAAATAAAAATGAAATAAAAGATCTGACTTAAAATATAAATGGTTGGAGAACTAGAGATTTGGGGTATGAGTAGAATCAGATCACTTAGGGTCATTGCATGGCTCAGTGGTTACCAGCACTTGATGCTCCTCCAAAGGGCCTGGGTTTGTTTCCCAGAATGCACATGGTGGCTCAGGACCACCTCTAACTCCAGTTCAAGGTAATCTGACTCTCTTCTGGTCTACATGGCACCAGGAAAACACTCTGTACACAGGCATATACGGAGAAAAAACATTCATATATAGTAAAATTATAATTAAAATCCTATTAAAAAGAAAAAGATTATAGGATCTCAGGATGTAGCTCAGGTGGAAGCATACTTGTCCAGAATGCATGAATCCCTGAGTTTAATTCCTATTTTATGAAGGGGACAAGGATAGTGTGATGCTTAAAAAGAAAATGTGCCCTAAAGGGAGTAGCACTATAAGGATGTTAGAACTGTTGGACTAGTGTGGCATTGTTGATGGAAGTGTTTCACTGTGGAGGAGTGCTTTGAGGTATCATGTATGCTCACGATACCACTTCCTGTTTCCTGCAAGATGTAGGACTCTCAGCTACTTTTCAACACAATGCTGCCTACATGCTGCCATGTCCCACCATGATAATAACAGAATAAACCTCTGACCTGTGAGTGAGCAACCCCAATCAAATGTTCTCTTTATAAGACTTGTCGTGGTCATGGTGTCTCTTCATAGCAATAGAAATCCTAACTAAGACAGATTGGGATGGCTGTCATGCCAGCACTTAAGAGTGGAGGTAGAAAGATAAGAAGTTCAAGGTCATTCGTGGGTAAACAGAGAGCTTTTGGGCAACCTGTGCTATGAGGCCCTGCCTCAAGAAACAAGAACACAAAAATAATCACACAAGAATATCCTAGGAGAAAGAAAAGCAAAGCATTTGGGATACATATCACAAAAGAGTTACGAAAGGCCACAGGTCTGGAATAGGTATTGATTTCCTTCATAGTCAAAAGAACTGCCATCTAGGGCTTGTGAACTGACCTGTCTTCAGGAAACTCCATATGCACGTTAACATAGCCATTTTTCCAGGCTCTGTGAACTTTAAGTTCGACTACAATATAGCTTCACTTTCTGGGTGTTATTACCAGCAGAACATATATACACATATATCTTAGAGTAAGAAGACTTTCAGAATGCCCCAGCAATGGCTGTACCTAACGGAATCAGGAATTTACTGGCCACAAGCAAGAGTCTACAGTCCTTTCTTGTCAAGTTATATCCATGTCATTCCCTATATAAATATGTATGGCTCTAAAAATAAAATATTGAGCATTAGGCTAACAACTAGAGCCTGCAGAACAGAGCTCTCACTAAATTAAGCCTTTAATGAGAGGTCTTTATCACATAGGCATGGACACCTGACACCAGTGATCTCTAACTAGGAGGTAGAAACAAGAGAATTAGAAGTTCATGGCCAGTCTTAGCCCAGTGAGATCCTATCTCAAAAAGGAGTCTCTAAGGGACACACAAAGGTCCCAATTGATTAAAATCAGGTCTAGGAGAAATGGAGAAATAGTGTCTAGTAAAAGCACTTCATTTTCATTCTAGGAATTATCTATTTAATAATACCTATTCATACCTTGAGTTATACAATAACACTATTTGGATCAGATTAGTCTTCAACTTTCTCCAACTTCCTCCAAAACATTAGGATGACAGGTGTGAGCCTTCATGTTCAGCTAAATAAATGTACTGATTAAATCAAAGAATAATAGAGAGATATACGGCAAGTTTGGAAGAAGAGCAAAAATAAAGTGAAAGTGACAGGCTAGTTTTAAAACCTTTTAACTCTTGCCAAGGGGGAAATCTAACCATGTAAGCAGCATCACCACTTGTTCTGCTATTGGCCTAGGAAAACTTTGCCTTTTATTTCTAAATGACTACCTATAGAATCTGCACAGCATATGTCCTGGAGAGATCTTGTCCTATATGAGGAAATTGTTTTGTGTATTTGGAAAAAGGTCTCATTCTGTGCTCTGGTCTGGCCTCAAGCTAGTGGTGCCCTGCCTCAGCTTTTCAAGTGCTGGAAATACAGGTGTAAATCACCATGAATGACTGAAGAAAATTCTATATAAAAGCTGACATAGCAGCATATTATTTGCCTATCACATGTGAAGTATGTGGTTTGAACTCTAGCTCACAGGGGAAAATAACTAATGTGGCCTCATTGCTCATCTAATACTCCCATAAGTATATAAAATGCATCTAAGGCTCTTCTAACAAAAATTAATCAAAAGAGATGAGGAAGGGCACTACATGTTTACCATTGGTAAAATCTGCCATGATGATGTTTTAATTTCTAACATGCATTCTTAAAACACAAGGGCAATTTCATTTGTAAAACAAATACTACTACAGCTTAAATCAAATATTGGCCGGGCGGTGGTGGCGCACGCCTTTAATCCCAGCACTCGGGAGGCAGAGCCAGGCGGATCTCTGTGAGTTCGAGGCCAGCCTGGTCTCCAAAGCGAGTTCCAGGAAAGGCGCAAAGCTACACAGAGAAACCCTGTCTCGAAAAACCAAAAAAAAAAAAAAAAAAAAAAAAAAAAAATCAAATATTGACTCACACACTAATAGTGGGAGATGTCAGTACCTCACTCTCACTCATGCACAGGCCATCCAGAAAAAAGCTAAACAAAGAACCAGCGAAGCTACCAGACATTATAAACCAAATGGATCTAAATGATATTTATAGAATATTTCACCCAAACACAAAAGAATACACCTTTAAATCAGCACTGTAACAGGGACCCATACCTTAACACAACCGACTTCATGATGGAAGTGCCATTCAGGATGTAAAACTCAGCACATAAAAAGCACCACATGCCAAAAATAAAAACAAAGGCCTAATTCATCAAAGTCCATAGTTATAGGAAAGTCTCTAAATGTATGAACCTTGCTTTTTACTTCCTGCAGTTCCATTTCAGTCTAACTGTTCTTGTTAACTGAAGTATGTAAACATAAAACATGGTTTTTGTGCTTAAAAGCTCATCCTGAAAAAGGCACAGGGCTACAACGGGATCCAGAACACCCAGTGTAGTTCGAGGCTAGCTAATAAACACATTGTATTTGCTTAAATCTCTGCCTGAGAAGTCTTCTTTGGTGAATACTCACATTTCTGGAGATGCCAGAGTTGCCAGAGACCAGACTGAAGGGTAGATAACAGGGGTTTTAGAGCCCCTTGGAGGAAAGATGTGTGCAGTAGTCAGGTGACTGCTAGGGGGGTACATAAACTGAGATATTCCAGGTCCACAGGTGTCTTTGTTAGGATTTTATTGCTGTGAGATACCACAACCATGTCAACTCTCATAAAGGAAAACATTTCATTGGAACTGCCTTATAGTTTATAGGTTTAGTCCATTATCATCATGGCAAGAAGCATGCTGGTATACAAGCAGACAGGGTGATGGAGAAGTTGCATAGACTTCTTCTATATCTTGATCCACACGCAGCAGCAGGACACTGAGACACACAGATCTCTAAGCCCACTTCCACAGTGACTCACTTCCTCCGCCAAGGCCACATCTATTCCAGCAAGGCCATACCTCCTAATAGTGCCAGTTCCTATGGGCCAAGAATTCAAATACAGTAGAGTATGAGGGCCTTTCAACATCAAACAACCACATTCTACCCCTTGGCCCCCACAGGCTTGTAGCCATACCATAATGTAGAAATGTACTCACTTCAACTTCAAAAGTCCCTAAAGTCATAACAGTCTCAAACTTGTTTAAAAATCCAAAGTTCAAAGTCTCTTCTGAGATTCATATATTCTCTTAACTGTAATCCCCTGTAAAACCAAAATCAAAAAGTAGATCACATACTTCTAACATACAATGGCACAGCATATATATACTACCATCCCAAAATCGGGAAAGAGGCATACTAAGGAAACAGTGGACCAAGGCACCCCTGAAACATGCCTGGCCTCAGCAGCTTTCCTTAGAAATGGAGGGAGATTCCATAAACCCTTTCTTCTAACTTTGATTCTAAAGCCAGAACAACGTGGCTGAAGCTTGTATTGTACTTGACTACTGCTTACATTAAGTGTTGGGCCCTGTGAGGAAGAGGGAGTGGCCCATGGCCATCTAAGATGAATGCACACAAAGTTGAGGGAAATAGGTTCTCCTGGTGAACATTTCCTCCACTTTGTGCCTGGTCTAAGCAGTTCCAGGGAAAGAGAAAAGTTCTCTTGGGCTGAGTCATAAAGAAAACAAAATTCCACTTCTTTCATAATTTGTCTCTTTTTCAACCAGTGATCTGAAAAACCCGTACTTCTCTTTGCAAAAAGTAAAAATACTGCCCCTGGGCTGGGTTAGGGAATTGCTGCCAGGAAACAAAACCTGGAAAGAACAGATATTCCCTTCTGTTCCTATGGGCCTGTACCCTAACACTGACCAAGGGTACTTTAAGGAATTTCACTAAGTACTTTTTAGAAAGATTAAAGATAGTAGCTAAAAAGATTTTTTTGTCACCCAGTCACACATGGTATTAGAAAAATGTTTTAAAAAATTAAAGGTAAAACTAGGTCCCAGTTGCTGGAGGTAGTTCAAAAGGTGTTTGTTAACAAGAAAAAAAAAACTGATTGGGACAAGAACTTCTGCATAAACTGAAAGCCACCTTCACCTTCTCTGATAATGAGACCTACAAATACACAGCAAAATTTTGGTATCTTACCCTCTGTCAGAAGAATATATGAAAATTATGCCTCCAATCAAAAGATAAATAATACCAAATGACCTTGGGAAAAAAGAGGAAAATTAAGTTCATATTGCCTGGCTTGATGAGACAGGCATCCTGCTGCCTTGCCAGTCACCCTGGAATATGCCTCTCCTGCCTATGAAGAAACCTGGGGCCTCTAATTCTCATGAGTCTGGTTTTTCCAGAGAAACAGGTGTACACTGTCCGGACATGAAAGATGCATTCTTCAGCCTCCCACTGACAGTGGTGAGTCAACCACCTTTGCTTTTAAATGGACAGACCCAGTGGGGGGTTTCAGTAGGCAACTAACCTGGACCAGGTTGCCCCAGGAGTCAAAGACATTAAATGTAGAGTTCCTGCCCTTCCTTCACAGGTTTCCTGAGAAAACAGATTATAAAAGAACCACTGAGTTTATAAATTATAAAATGACCCCGGAAGTTTACAGACTTTTGGCTATAAACTATTGGCTAAGAAAGCCCAACTTTGTGGAAGCCTACCTATCTTGGCTCCCAGCTGAAGGGAGACAAAAGGAGCTGTCTCAGAATAACATTGCTGCCATCCTTCAGATCCCAACTCCAAAAACTAAGAGATGGGTTTAAGAGTTTCTAAGTGCAGCTGGGTATTGCTGTCTCTGGATACTAATGTCTCTGGAAATGGCAATAAAAATATACAACAGCACGAATGGGGCCCTGAGCCCCTAATATGGACTGAGACTGAACAAAAGCCATTTAAGGCTTTAAACACAGCTATGATTTCCACTCCAGCCACAGAATTTCCAGATATCACAAAAAATTTTCACCTGTTTGTCCACAGAACACAAAATGAAAGGGTTTTTAAGCCAAATTTTGGGGCCATGTAAATGTCCTATGATATACCTGTCCAAATGATAGGACTCTGTAGCCACAGGTTGGCCTATCTGTCTAAAAGCAATGGCACTAGTTTAAAGAAAGAAAACAATTTAACTTTGGGTCAAGATCTAATACTCACAGTATACCATGACATGGTTGAGGCTACCCTCTTGTATGATGGCACAGGAGATTGTCCATGACTGTCAAGAGATGAAAGATGAAACCAAGTACATGGGAGCTGTAGCAGTTCCATTAACTGAAAAAATATGGACCCACACCAGGTACCACAGCACACTGAGAGAAACTGATTAATCTGATCAAGGGTCTCAGGTGGAGAAAAGGAAAGTCCTCCACCATACACATGGGCAGTCACTATGCTTTTTTGTCAGGCATGTCCATGCTATGATCTGCAGAGAAAGAGAGCTTCTCACCAATAGGAAAAAGGACATTAAAATACCTTGGCCCTCCTAGAGGGCCATTTGGCTTCCCCTACAAATTGCTGTTCTCCACTGCTGGGCTTCTAACCTGGCAGCCCACCAAACCAGAGGGCCCATGGATATTCTGTCTAAAACCAGTGGGACCTATTGATATTCTGGAACCATAGGGCTTACTGATAATCTGGCTAAACCCAGGGAAGCCAAATGATATTCTGATGGCATACCATGACCCTGAAACTTGGTGGTTAAAAGGAAAAAAAATGGACAGTTTGAAACCACAGGATAATGGAGGACACCCAAGGGAAGATTCATTCTCCCAAAAACAACTGACAGGACTGCTGGTAACTAACCTTCACCAGACTACTCATGTGGTGTTCACAAAACTTTCAGAGTTGAAGCAGACGAAAATCTAGTATATCTAGACTAGTATACCCTAGCAAGGGATGTCTCAGCCAGATGCCAGGTTTGTGCTCAAGTGAGTCCAAAATTGAGAGCCCTTACCCAGAAAAGCATCCAAATAACAGAGCAAGACCCCCAAGAAGTCTGGGGAAAATGACTTCACCAAGATCCGCCCTGCCCAGGGAGGATAACAGTACTTGCTAGTTTTCATAGATACACCTTCCTGGTTAGCAAAAGTGTTTCCTAACCAGACTAAAACAAATCAAGTAGGAATTAAAACAACTCAAGTGGGAACTAAAACAACTCAAGTGGAAAAAGCTCCTCCAGGAACTGGTCATACGATTTGGGTTCCACCTAGCAACGGGGGTCCAACAATGGCTTGGCTTTCATAGCCTAAATTCTCTCAATTAATAGCCACAGCTTTACATATAGATTGAAAACATCATTGTGCATACAGACTCTGAAAGCCAGAAGGTCCTGGATAGATATTTTGCAGACACTAAGAGACCATGGATGCCACCCCAGACTACTATACCCAGCAAAACTTCCAATCACCATAGATGTAGAAAATAAGATATTCTATGACAAAACCAAATTTAAACAATATCTATCCACAAATATAGCCCTATAGAAAGTACTAGAAGGAAAACTCCAACCCAAAGAAGTTAGCTGTACCCACAAAAACACAGGTAATAGATAACCTCACACCAGCAAATCTCAAAGAAAACACACACACACACACACACACACAAAAACACACACACACACACACACCACCACCACCACCACCACCAACAACAACAAAAACAAAAAATAACAAGAATTAACAGCCACTGTCATTAATATTTCTTAATATCAATGGACTCAGTTCACCTATAAAAAGACACAGGCTAACAGAATTGGTATAAAAATAGGATCCATCCTTCTGCTGCATACAAGAAACATACCTCAACTTCAAAGACAAACATTACCTCAGAGTAAAGGATTGGGAAAATTTTCCAATCAAATGGACCTAAGAAACAAGTGGGTGTGGCCATCCTAATATCTAACCTAATAGACTTCAAACTTAAGTTAATCAAAAGATATGGAGAAGAACATTTCATATTAATCACAGGAAAAATCCATCAAGATGAAGTCTCAATTCTGAACATTTATGCCACAAATACAAGGGGATCCACATTTGTTAAAGAAACATTAGTAAAGCTTAAATCGAACATCAAATCCCACACATTAACAGTGGGAGACTTCAACACCCCACTCTCATCAATGGGCAGGTCTGCCAGACAGAAACTTAACAGAGAAATAAGGGAATTAACAGATGTTATGAATCAAATGGACTTAACGGACATCTATAGAACATTTCACACAAACACAAAAGAATATACCTTCTTCCCAGCACCTCATGGAACCTTCTCTAAAACTGATCACATACTCAGTCACAAAGCAAACCTGAATAGATACAAAAAAAATTGGAATAGCCCCTGTATCTTATCAGATCATCATGACCTAAAGTTAGAATTTAACAACAATGCAAATTACAGAAAGCCAACAAAATCATGGAAACTGAACAACACTCAACCGAATCACCATTGGGTCAAGGAAGAAAAAGAAAGAAATTAAAGACTTCCTAGAATTCAATAAAAATGAATGTGCAACAAACCCAAACTTATGGGATAATATGAAAGCAGTGCCAAGAGGAAAGTTCATAGCACTAAGTGCCTACGAAGTTGGAGAAATCTCACACTAGTGACTTAAGAGCACACCTGAAAGCTCTAGAACAAAAAGAAACAAACTCACCCAGGAAAAATAGATGATAGGAAATAAATCAAATTGAGGGCTGAAACCAGTAAAATAGAAATAAAAAGAACAACACAAATAATCAGTGAAACAGAGTTGGTTCTTTGAGAAAATCAACAAGATAGACAAACCCTTATGCAATTAACCAAAAGGTACAGAGAGAATATCCAAATTAACAAAATCAGAAGTGAAAAGGGAAACATAACAACAGACAATGAGGAAATACAGAGAATCATTAGGTCATACTTAAAACACCTGTAGTCCAAAAAATTGGAAAAATCTGAAAGAAATGGACAATTTCCTGGATAGGTACCACATACCAAAATTAAATCAAGACCAGATAAACAATTTAAATAGACCTACAACCCCTAAGGAAATAGAAGCAGTCATCAAAAGTCTCCCAACCAAAAAAAGCCCAGGGCCAAATGGTTTCAGCACAGAATTTTACCAGAATTTCAAAGAAGAGCTAATACCAATACTCCTCAAATTGTTCAACAACATAGAAACAGAAGGAACATAGCCAAACTCTTTTTACAAGGCTACAGTTACCCTGATACCCAAACCACACAAAGATGCAACAAAGAAAGAGAATTACAGACCAATCTCCCTCACAAACATTGGTGCAAAAATACTCAATAAAATACTGGCAAAGCAAATCCAAGAACACATCAAAAAAATTATCCACCATGATCAAGTAAGTTTCATCCCAGAGATGCAGGAATGTTTCAACATATTGAAAATCTGTCAATTATATCTACCATATAAACAAACTGAAAGAAAAAAACGACATGATTATCTCATTAGACGCTAAAAAAGCCTTAAACAAAATTTAACACTCCTTCATGATAAAGGTCTTGGAGAGATCAGAAATACAAGGAACATATCTAACATAATAAAGGCAATATACAGCAAGCCGACAGCCAACATCAAATTAAATGGAGAAAAACTCTAAGTGATTCCACTAAAATTAGGAACAAGACAAGGCTGCCCACTCTCTCCACATCTATTCAACATAGTACTTGAAGTTCTAGCTAGAGCAATAAGACAACAAAAGGAGATCAAGTGGATACATATTGGAAAAGAAGTCAAACTTTTGCTATTTGCAGATGATATGATAGTATATATAAATGACCCCAAAAATTCTACCAGGGTACTCCTACAGCTGATAAATTCCTTCAGTAATGTGGCAGGATATAAGATTAACTCAAAAAAATCAGTAGCCCTCCTATATACAAATGATAAAAGGGCTGAGAAAGAAATCAGAGAAACATCACCCTTTACAATAGTCACAAATAACATAAAATATCATAACTCTAAACAACAGACCTATAAGATAAGAACTTTAAGCCTTTGAAGAAAGAAATTGAAGACGATATCAGAAAATGAAAAGATCTCCCATGCTTTTGGACAGGTGGGATCAACATAGTTAAAAAACGGCAACCTTACCAAAAGCAAACTACAGATTCAATGCAATCCCCATCAAAATCCCAACACAATTCTTCACAGACCTTGAAAGAACAATATTCAACTTCATATGGAAAAACAAAAAACCCAGGATAGCCAAAACAATCCTATTCAATAAAGGAACTTCTGGAGGTATCACCATCCCTTACTTCAAGCTCTACTATAGAGCTATAGTAATAAAAACAGCTTGGAAATGGCATAAAAACAGATATGTGGATCAATGGAATTGAACTGAAGATCCTGAAATTAATCCACACACCTATGAACACCAGATTTTTGACAAAGAAGCAAAAACTGTACAGTGGGGGGAAAAAAAGCATCTTCAACAAATGGTGCTGGCATAACTAGACGTCCACATGTAGAAGATTGCAAATAGATCCATATCTATCATCATGTACAAAACTCAAGTTCAAGGAGATCAAAGACCTCAACATAAATCCAGTTACACTGAACCTGATAGAAGAGAAAGTGGGAAGTAGCCTTGAAAGCATTAGCACAGAAGACCACTTCCTAAATATAAAACGGTAGCACAGACACTGAGAGCAACAATTAATAAACTGAGAAGCTTCTGTAAGGCAAAGGACATGGTCAGTAAGACAAAATGGCAGCCTACAGAATGGGAGAAGATCCTTACCACCCCAATATCTGAAAGAGGACTAATCTCCAAAACATATAAAGAACTCAAGAATCTAGAAATCAAACTAGAAATTAAAAAATGGGCTACAGATCTAAACAGAGAATTCTCAACAGAAGAATCTCAAATGGCTGAAAGATATTTAAGAAATTGCTCAACTTCCTTAGTAATCAGGAAAATGCAAATCAAAACGAATCTGAGATACCATCTTATACTTGTCAGAATGGCTAAGATCAAAAACACTAATGACAGCTTATGATGGAGAGGATGTGGAGCAAGTGGAACACTCCTCTACTGTTAGTGAGAGTGTAAACTTGTACAGCCACTTTGGAAATCAGTATGTTGACTTCCCAGAAAATTGGGAATCAATCTACCTCAAGGTCCAGCAATACCACTCTTGGGCATTTACCCCAAGAGATGATTAATCATGCCACAGGGATACTTGCTCAACTATGTTCAGAGCAGCATT